TTTTCATTATTAGACCAAGGAAAGGCCTACCATCATGGCTTTATGTATGAAGACAGTAGGCCTTTGACTGGATTTGTGACTCCATGGGACCTCTACGAAAGGATAAGGATCCCATTCGGGTTAATGAATGCACCCGCAGCCTTCCAATGTTGTATGGAGGAGTGTCTGGAGGAGTGTCTGGAGGAGTGTCTGGAGGATGTGTGAGACAACATCTGCGTGCCCTACCTGGATGATACACTAGTGTACAGTCAGTCATTCGAGGATCATGTAAGCCATGTCAGGAGAGTGCTCCAGCTGCTAAGAGCAAGGTATGGGATCAAACTTAAACCCAGCAAGTTCGAGCTATCTGGTCTGTGAGGTCCGCTCTCTGGGAAGGACCGTTTCAGCCGAAGGTAGCAAGATCAATCCAGTTGACACCATCGCTATGCAAGCCTTGAAAGATAAGAGACCAAGCAATCTAGGAGAGCTACGAGCTATCATGGGCTTGTTAAGTTATTACAGGAAATACATTAAGGATTTCTCCCATATTGCGGGGCCACTTTATAACCTGCTGAAAGGGACGACAGAAGAAAATGATACACAGCAAAACAGGATAAACACAAGACGAGTTACGGGGAAGAGAAAAGGAGTGATGTCACACAAACCAATTGTGTGGACTGAGGAACATCAACGCATCCTGGAGCGGCTAATAGACTATCCGGTTGAGCCACCAGTCCTCAGGTTCCCAGACTTCTCACAGCCATTTATCATCCACACGGATGCCTCAAATTGAGGCCTCGGGACAGTTCTTTACCAATGACAGGATAATAAGCTTCGTGTGATCGCCTAGCCAACCCGGATACACCACGATCAAGGTGGCGAATTTGAGAACCAACTCTTTGCCCAGCTTAAAAAGAACTGTGGTATACTAGGATCGCGAACGACACCCTACTACTCGCAAGGGAATGGACAAGTCGAATGCTGTAATCGGACATTGTTACAAATGCTAAAAACAGAAGACGAACTGGAAAGAATCCTTGAACAAGTTAATCTATGCATATAACTGCACAAGATGTGAAACAACAGGTTTCTCCCCTTTTTATCTGTTATTCGGAAGGTCCCCGAGGTTACCTATTGATCTCCTGTGTGTTTGAAAGAATGAACTGAATGTGTGTTTGAGTCTTAAACAAACATGTTATTTCCTTCCTCATCAGTGTTTTATATAGCCTGTGTTTTCTCATCAGAACTGCATCAGCCTCAACCGCTAACAAACCAGCCTGGTCTCAACATGTGACATATGAATAACACATGATCATTTCTCAGGCCATGTTTTGTGTCATCACTATACATTTTTGGTTTTTCACGTGTTAAAGCAGTAAATGACACACAGGAAGCTTTAAATGTGTAAACATGACACATGAAACGTCTTTGAAAGTGTCATGCTGTTTATGCTAAATTTTACTATAATAATTATTATTGTTATTGTTATTAGCTTTCATTAGTAGGAGCACTACAGTTGCCATTACATTACTATTGCTTTTACTGCTGCTATTATCACTATTATTAATATTGCTATCATTGCATGTTGTTGTTCTTTTCCTCTGCATTCTCTCTAGCTATCTCTGTCCCCTGCTTGCACGTTCTCTCTCTCTCTATATATATATATATATATATATATAAACTGAAAACCAGACTTCATTTGGTTTCAGTTTTCAGTTTTGGGTTGTAATTTTCTCTAATAAGTTTCATTTTATATATTTGTGTTAGTGTAGATTTGGGATAATTTAAGAACACATCCTTGGAGCTGCACTTGCAATGCAACAGTGCAAAGCGATCTGTGACGGCCCTTCAAGCCACCATACATGTTTTAGTAAAGGAAACAACAGTGTAGATTTCAGGGGGTTTTATGGAGCGGGTATTGCCTGTTGCAAATCATCTGTATGTTAAGTGCTCGTTGTTTTAGAAGTGACGGAGGTTCACTGTAGAGAGAGTTGTATGTAGAACCGACTTCAACCATGTGAGAAGAAATATTTCTCAGAGATATATTTCTTACTCAGCTGAACCCCTTGCATGAAGGTTGAGTGTAACAAAGCAGAATATAAACAAGATTTATTAGATTTATTTATTTATCATTAAAACTTTATATCTTGGTCAGTGACATTTAAGCAATTCAATACAATGAAGTAGACAGTCAAATGATTCAGTGTGAGTTTTCAAGCATTTCTACCCTCATGTCACAAATAGATAAATCTTGTATACTGTGACGCTGTAGAACACAAATAATTTCTTCATGTAGCTGATGTTGTCAAATACTGCTGCATATTGTAGCATTTATTGGCTAAACCAGTGGTTCCCAAACTTTTTCACATCAAAGATCCTAAGCAGACCTTCATCTCATAAGATTTTGCCTTTTAGATGTTTTATTACAGAAAGTGTTTAAACCCATGAACCAAACTAATCATACATTCTGTAATTGTGTTACTTATGGATGAAATTACAGTGAAAATAAATGATTCCCCTTTTTGATTATAGGACCTATGGGGTTCCCCAGACTCCACTATGAGAAACCATTGGTCTAAGCAACATTTTCCAAGATGGACTTATATGAAAATGTACTATACATTGTAATCATAAACACATGCATCATTATACAAAACACAATAGAATATGGATATATCATACTGGAAAATAAATTTCTTTATCTTGTGAAACCGCCAGCGGAAAGCCATGGTACCTTTTCACCTCAAAGCCACATATGGAATATCCCCTCTCAGCTTTACAACCAGGGACTTGTTGGGGCTTTGAGATTGTCTGAAAGTCTGCTCCAATATCATAGTTGTACAGGTGTCACCTGAACTGGTTAGTTTCAAGCAAACCCCAGTCTTAATGCATTTAATGTAACAAAGGTTGGAGTTTAACAGGATCCAGAAATCAGTAAATCAAAAGTTATGTTTAGTTTTCTGTTTCACCAGGATTAAGAAGAGCAACTCCTGAACAGCACAACACCAGTGAAACAGAAATCCGCCCATTTCTATTGATTGATAGATGGAACTGAACAACTCAGTAGATTAGACTGCTCCACAGGAACTCAGCTATAGTGCATCGTTGGCACAGATCATAACATCTGACTCTTCTGATAGCTTTTCCTCTCTTCCTGTGCCATTTGCAGTAAAAGCTTATCTTTCATTTCTCTTTACTTCTCTTATCTACACATTTATGATGCATGAAGGGTTGGTGCCATCGTTACTGAGCCACCTCAGTATAGTCATTGTGGTTGAGTTGACATATGAATACATCAGAGTGATTGTGGTTTTAAGATGGGTGTAATGAAGTGACACTTGTGAACAAGTTCAGGCACATCCAGGACTCTTAATTCAGTCCAGCTAGAAATTGTCTCTGTAAGACAAACCTTTGCACTGATGTCTGAGTCAGTGCACCTTTCTTGAACTGAACCTCATTTATATGTCTCTTTGGTGTAACAAATGAATAAATGTAAAATGAACACTACACCCTTCTCATCATGCTGCTGAACTTCTGTTGATTTGGCATGTTCAGAGTCTATCTTCACAAAGCATTTATCTGTAGACCCTTGAGTTTCAGTTCCTCCCTGAGGGAAGTTATTATAATCGCTCTATACTTCCTGCTGAGCAGAACTACGCCCCAGACACCTGCTCGTATTCATTGTGTAGTGTACCCTATAAACTAAATTGGTACACTCACTGAGCTTGGAAACACCTTGTTGATGAGAGAGGTTAGAGAAGAATGGACAGACTGGTTCGAGCTACAGTAACTCAGATAACCACTCTTTACAACGTAGTGAGCACAACAAAATGCAAACATACAGTGTGTAACTTCTGCCTCTCGGGGTCTCAATCAAAACAATAACAAAAGACAGATTTTGGATATTGGTGATGTCATGAAGTAGCATGGGATCATGGAAGTCGTTGTCTTCACAACGAATGCCGTCAGCTTCTCCTGGTTTGGATTCCTTCAGTGTCAGTTGCTCAGGAGGTTTTTACCTGGAGCTGAATTATCCAGAGGTCTAGCCCTCTCCAAAACAAACAGACCAGGTGATTACAACCAGTAACAACACTGAATAAAGCGGTTTCACTTTAAATGTTCTGCAAGCAGGGTTTTAAACAATAATACAACAGCAAACAGCTATTTTCTATGTAAGGATATATGGGAGTAATGGCGTCCTGAGTAGAGAACAAAGTCGTATCCCCTGCGTGTTGCAATCTGAGTTTCTATGTTAATTGTTTTGGTAGGTCTGGCAGCAGTTTCATGTTAGTGTATGTTAGTCCCTCCTGTTAAACCATTGGCCCAACCCACTATAAACACATAGACACCACCCACAGGTGACACATTGCAGTACACAGCATTCAGGTGAAAGTGACCCTCCAGAATTTTCCTCCACTGAAGGAGAAACCATGTTTTCATCTACAAAGTTCCTCAGATAAAGAAAGAGATCCGACCAGAGCACAGATGGACTGGTCATGAGGACCATCAAAACAACGAAAAAGTTTTAACGGGTTCCGTCACTGTCACTCGTGCGGCTGATTCCATTGGTTCAGTCCAAGGCCGAATCCTTTTCCCAGTCTGACCGTGGAGCCAATACTGATCTGGTTTACTGAGTCAGTCAGTAACTTGGTGCTACATAATGTTACATGTCTGTTTCCATTAGTGACGGCTACAGTTGCATGATAGTGATAGCTAACTTGCTGTTAGCGATATTATGAATGTGTTCAGCAAATGTTGCTATCACTAGCTAGCTAACTGTCAGCATTGCTACTCAGACCTGCTGCTGGTCTCCTAAAGGGGCGGGGAGGTGGAGAAAACCCACATCACACAGATACAGGAATTAATCGGAAACGAAGCGTCTCGGTTTCTCTACTTTCTCTGCCATGATTAAAATCACAGATTTCTCTGGTTTGAGAAATGATGGAAACATTTGTGACAATGTAAGAACACAACTCAACAACATATAGAAAATAGGTCGAGTTGTTTTTAGACATTTCAATGTGGAAAAGTTACAGATTAAAGCTTCAATACTAAATATATAAATATTGTGATATGACAGGTGATTCAGCCACATTTCTCAGTCCTAAATTGTCGCACTAATTCTACCTGGAGCCAAAAGCAGTGATTGTGTGTTTTTAAAACTTATTAGAGGGTGTTGCCACAGTGTTTTTGGTTTAACAACACCGTGCTGGACAGGTGACAGGTGTGTTGACAGTGTTTGTTCTGAAAGACATCACAACTCATTCCTGCAGCACTCTATATATGATCCCAAAATAAAAATCATTTTATCTCCTCTATCCTGAACTTTAAATACATCCTTGCTCTGATTTTATTAATCAGTGAAGCTGTAGTAGTCCTTGTTTCTTGTTAGCTGTTGTTAGCTCTGTACCTGACTTCAGAGCTATGACTGTTCAAAGGAAACATCCTCACCACATCGATGCCCACGTTCTTTGTGAAGGTTTCTGTGGTGAAATAGTATGCAACAGGATCTAGCACTGTGTTGAGACATGCCACCATCACGCTGTAGTGGTATGCAGTCAGCATGGAGCATGGTATGTTCTCTCTGTACAGTGAGAGGAGGCCCAGGGTGGCGTGGTATGGGAGGAAACTGAATATGAAGATGAAGAGGCTGGAAGCAACCATCCTCTGGATCTTTGCGCTGTCCACCAGGTTGGTCTGGGCCACGGGGCTCTGTCGGACAGCACGGACCAAACCCCAAGAGCAGACCAGCATGATCACTAACGGGATCCCAAACCCCAAGATCAGCGTGGGATAAACCACCAGAGGCTGAATAGCATAGACCGGCAAGTTATTAAAACAGTCTGTGAAAGAATCGTGAACATCTCTGCGCTTGAAGAGGTAGATGGGCACGCTGGCCCCGAAGGTGAGCATCCATATTCCGAAACAAACCAGCGGCGCTTTCCTCCTCCCCTCCTTCACACGCACTGACATGGGGAAGCTGACGGCCATGCAACGGTCAAAGCAAATACAAGTGAGGAGGAAGATGCTCCCGTACATGTTGGCCTTCAGGACCAGACCGAGGCTGTCGCACAGCCACTGAGGAAGACCACGATAACCCAGATAGTAGTAGATCCTCATGGGCAATGTGAGAATGAGCAGACTGTCCGCTATGGTGAGATTGCTCATGTAGACAATGGTTTGTGATCTGGTTTTGTTGCATCTGAAAAAAAAGACCAGAGCTGTGAGGTTAAAGATCAGACCCACGATGCAGATGAAGGAGTAGGTGCACACAGTGAAGATGTTGCTGGTGTAGTCTGAACTGTTGAGACAGGAAGACGAGATGTTGGTGGACATGATGACCTGAGAGAGAGAGGAGGGAGAAGAGTGGTTAGAAAATGTCATGAAAACCTCTCTGGGCAGCGTAGACATGTCGCACTGCAGATATCAGTTTTGTGTTTTTATATATTTTTTATACTTTTATTAGATTGCTGTATTTGGATTGTTAAAGTAGTCAATAAAATTAAGCAAAATCAAGAAAAGCTCTACGATAAAAAGTTTGTTTTAAGAAGAGATTTCAAAGAAGTCACTGACTCTGCTGAGCTGATTCCCTCAGGCGGCTCGTTCCAGAGTTTCAGCCTCTGACTGTGAAACCTCTGTCACCTCTGGTTTTTAGCTTTGCCTCAGGAACAACTAACAGACCTCTGGCCAAGGATCGCAGGCTACAAGCTGGTTCATAACAGGGTCAGATATAAAGCATTGAAAGTGAAAGTGAAGAGCTTTAACTGTCAACTATAGGATCCTAAAATCAATCTAAAAAGAACTGGCAGCCAGTGTAAGGAGGCTAAAACCAGTGGTGTCACTTCTGGATCCTGTTCAAAGCCTGGCAGCCGACTTCTGTTCTGTCTGGAGCCGATTAATAGATTTGTGGTTGAGGCAGGGGAAGAGGCTGTTGCAATAGTCGAGGTGTGAGGAGGTAAAAGCTTGGAAAATGGTCTCTGTGTCTTTAAAATAGATCATTTTTTTTTTTTATATATATATCTCAAATAGTAAAAACAGACTGCACAAGTTTTGTTATGTGCTGTTCAAAATTCCATGAAAACACCATGATCTGACAAGTCTGACTTAAACCAGCCTAGTGCAGCTCCTTTAATGCCAATGATATGTTCTAGTCTCTGTAATAAGATCCTGTGATCAATGGTGTCAGATGATGGTGTCTGAGATCTAATAGGATACGAGTCCATTGTCTGAGGACTCATGCAAATAATCATAATCACACTGGTTTGTAACTACTTTTTCAAGGATTTCAGAAATAGAAGGGAGGTTGGATGTGGGTCTGTAATTGGCATCTAAAACATCTGGGTCAAGACTTGGCTTTTGAAGTAGAGTTTTCATTTAAACCCTGAAGAGCCTGGTGGAAATCCACACTAAAAGACAAGTTGATGGTTTAGATGAAGAAACAACTGTCTTTGCTTTGGCTTTCTAATAAACTCATTCAGATTTCTGGATACGAGAGCAGCTCCATCCAGCGAGGGTCTTCACCTGAAGGTTTGCCAGTTATCTACAGATCCCACATCATTTACTGGACACCACCTGGACAACCAGAGGTTAACTGATCACTGATCAGATTAAGCAGGGGCCCAGAGAAAAGTACGGAGTCTGACACTGGCACCAGATTGGTATAATCATTGCATTACCAGCGATGTGAATAACAATCTTAGTATATTCAAGTTTATCTTTAGCCAGCAGTTTCAAATATGTTTCAAAGTCGCCCACTCAGGCCCCAGGAATACATTTCACTGTCGTCGCCGGTGTCGTTAACTTCCCCTTTCTCGGAATAGAGCTGCCAATGACCACGATTTGTTTCTCAGCAGTTGTCTCGCTGAGAGGGGAGAACCTGTTACAAACCTATGACAAGCTTATCGTCACATATACTACAGTTCCTGTCAGATACATCACACTTCTTCTCACAGAGAACAGCAACCCTCTCGCTATGACACATCACCCACATCCCTTATATTTAGTTGCAGAGTGCAGCACTGACCTGAATATCCCCAGCTTTGTGTTATACATAACACGCTTCGTCACTGTACATGATACAGAGAAACTTTGAGAACAGTGATGTAAACTTGTGAATCATGCACCACGTTCTACAGGACTGCGTCTGTGCCAGCGGTTGAAACCAAAGTACTGAATATAATGAACGTGCATCGTGTCACTTTGAGTAAACACAGCTGGAATCACTGCACCGAGCTTGAAGTGCAGTGATTGGGAGTGTTCCGCCTCCAGGAGTCTGAATGGTGAGCTCAGGCTTTTAGCAGAAAGAACGTCATCTACCAGGGAAGTGATTTTTACATGTCTTTGACTGGCCACAGAAACCTCCATACGGATAACATCACATTGTGTTGGCAACTCATTAAAATGAATGAGGGAGCTGAGGTTTTTCACAGAGCGGGTCTGAACACTGTCTGAGGTCCTGAACACTTCCACTAATGAAGCGGTCAGTGCAAGCTGAAGCAGGAAGGTGACAGTCACCCTACGTAGTCATCACACCCCCAGCTGTTAATAAGTAGTTTCACTGATAGCGCAGCTGTCTGTCTCTGTATCTCTCTCTCTCTCTCTCTCTCTCTCTCTCTCGTCTGTTCATGTCTGAAGGGCTGCTTCCGTGCCTGTCACGTTGCATCGTCCAGTTCAAGGTCAATGAATCAAATTAGCTACACGGCTTCATTTCTCCCAACATGCAACATGTGGCCCGTAGCTCTTTAGATTATGTCCCTCTGTTTCCCCAGAGCGTCGAGTATGAGCTGAATTAACGGACATTCTGAAGCTCCATGAAGCTGCAGATTTAGCTGATACTGATGATGAAACCTGCCAGCTACTTCAGTTTTTTTTAATCACACTGCAATCACCATATTTGGTGAGATAAATCCTTCTTCCTCATTACACCAACTCATGTTCATGATATACCTGCTGCTGTTCTTCACTGCTTTGCTGAATACACTTTTGTTTCCCTGCATTTCTAAAGTTTTCTAATGTCCACGAAGGTGATCCCTCGCTGCCATTATCTGCTGCGTAATGTGCGTTAACATAATTTAAAATGATCTAAAAAGATATATTATACTAATGCTTTAATGGTCTGTATTGCAGCTAAAATTACCGTCATTTCATTTCAGAATTTTTAATGGGTTAACAGAAGGAAAATAGAAAACATCACATGCAAATACAGAAGGTAGCCAAAGTAAACAATCCGTGGCCCAGAGATGTGTCAAATAACCACATCTGTGTTGACTCAGTTCACCCAACTTCTCTACATGCCACAGTCTACATCCTGCAAGCCTCATATAGTGATGTATATATATTTATATATATCTCCTCTTTGTTGTTCATCAATAAAAATAAAATAGAATCAACACAAAATCTATCAGTATTTGAGAGATGCATGAGGATTAGTGTATCTTGCATCACATGACATGATCATAAAGTATTTATTTACAGTTCTTCTCGATCGCTTTGATGCAATTCACGCAGCAGAAACATCGTTCTCTCAGCTCTTAATGCAGTTTTCAAAACAGTTCACGCGTTTGTCCTAACACTGAATCACCTGTGCAAAAGCCTGTAAAACCTTGTTTTTCCGTGTGTTGAAACATGGAAAGTCAGTCAGTCACTTCAACATTGCCACTGATGAATTAAACCTGTCCACCAGAACTTCAGACTTAGACACCTGATGTTTTGATAAAAATTTGTGTTTAGAAAAGCAGAACTGCAAAAACTGAACTACAGTTACAACGGTAACATGTTGGAAAAAAATAACTATATTCTGTTTCAAAATTGCATTGGTGTTTATTGTACTGGGAACATTTCAACCTCTCAGCAGATCACTGTTCTGTCACTTTACAACACTGTACGGAAATGTGTATACAAGCCTATGGAAATAGAAAAGCTTTAGATTTAGAACACGGTGTATCCAAAAAATTACTATGATGAAAAAAGTGTTTGGCATTTGATGCAAATATTTGATGTTTAGATGTTTTTTTATGATATTTTCAATGATAGTTTCATTTTGCAGCAGATTTGTGGCACTTTGCATTTTCATGTGCAATGTGTGGATTTGTGTGTCGAGTTTTTGAAAAAACCAGACCTAGTTTAGAAAAATGAGTGAAAGCAGTTGAAAAAAACAAACTGTATCTGTAAATCAACAGAATATAACTGCTGTAGCTGAGGAAAGTGAAAAAGAAAAATGTGGAACTATGTGTCAGAAAATAGACAAAGAGAAATATGCAATCAAAATTAGAACATCAATTATAGTACAGTCAGTTCACACCACAAATAGTATATATAGTGTGTGTGTTTGTGTGTGTGTGTGTGTGTGTGTGTGAGAGAGAGAGAGAGAGAGAGAGACCGGCCTTGCTCTTTCATACATATTTGAAGAAAGTTTAAAGGCATCTGATTGAAAACGCTCATGCTGCAGGAAAGTATCAAAGTGAGTGAGAGGTCTGTCATTCTAGCTGATGAAGGAACAAACTGTTTTCATGAGTTGTCAGAGTCAGATGAGAAATGCATCAGCACAATGAGAAAACGTCTTTAGTAGTGCGGTTACAAAGGAGGCTTGCACAAATACAATGGGAAATGCTAATTAGTGCAGGGGAAATGATGAACTGTTTTGAGGACTGCAATAAAAGCTGCGAGAATGACATTTCTGATACAAGAACTGCATCAAGGCGATTGAGAAAAAAAGTGTAAACCATGAAGCTACATTCACTGTAGTTAAGCGGAAGATAGACTCTGCTGTGAATAAAGCAGAAGTCGTGTCGTTTGTTACAGATTCACTTCAGCAACAAATTGATAAAATCCTCCTCACATTTGATAAATTATTTCAGCAAACATTTGTTTTTCATTGATGTAAAATGAGCATTTTTCTATGTTTTTTTTACGTTTGTGATGTTATTATCAGTAATTAAATGTGGTTTTGTGTGCAACACAGGAAGAATCAGTTCTCATCATACTGTTTTCATGTGTAACTTATCTTTCATCTGCTTCATCTCTGAATGAGTTTTTACCACTGGATGATTCTCAGGCAGAAACATACTGTGCACGTGCACGCACACACACACACACACACACACACCCACACACACACACACCCACACACACACACACCCACACACACACACACGCACACACGATTTGTGCATTTCATGAAATTGAAATGGAGCCGTTGTGTGTCAGTGTAGTTTAGAGTAAATGTAGAGATGAGCTGAGGTGGTGTGTGTCGTTACCTGTTGGATGATCAGAACAGGTGACAATCCAGGGGATGAGGAGTGTGAGGCTGTCAGCCCAGCATACTGATGCACTGATCTGCTCGTCACACTATTGGTATGTAACACTCACACAGGAAGTTAACCAATCTTAAGATCTCCCCTCCTTTGTGTGTATCTGCTGTGTGCGTCTGTAGATTCTCTGTCAAACTCCTGTGTCAAAAAGTTTTATTTTCTAGCTTCAGACATATTCCATCATATTCATCTTTTTATATATATATATATGGAAACTTAATTATTTCACCATATCGCAAGACCAAGGTCAGAGGACTAAAAACAAACTGAACATAGTGGAGTCCACATCGTCTGTAAAAATGTGTAGACACAGCCTCCAGGTAAAATCTAATAATAAAATTTGTAAGTCAACAGGGAAAAGAAAATTAGCTTTAGCTTTCAAGGTCCATATAGTCTAAAGGTAGATGTCCATGTGTTGTTTGATTATAGATCAGGTCTAGGTTCTATATTATCTCTGTGAAAGTATCAAAGCCTCAGTCCACAGAGAAATGCACACAGCCTGTATTCAGAAACTGAGCCTTAAAACCAGCCGTCAGGACTTCTGGAACTTTGTGATGTCGCAACAAAGCAGTCTGCACCATCAACCATGATCCAAGCCCCACCAACCTGGACCCACCATCCAATCTTGCAGGATTTGGTTTCTCTGACCTATATTTTATTAGATGACTGATTGGCTCACTGACCTGTTGTTACTAGAGCTCCAGAGAGAAGCCTGAGAGAGGAGATGTAAAACTACACTGAGATGTTTTTTGGTTCTTAAAACCACAAATGTATCTTCTTATCGATCAACACCTGAAATAAAACACAGGTGAAGAGGAAAATATGGAGCTTTAAAAAACATTTTTTTATATATTTCAGATCATTAAGGAAATTTTGAATCTAAATCTTGCAGCGCAGTGCTCCAAACAAAGGCAGGTGTGGTTCAGGTAATTATTCTGAACAGAGATCAGTTAAAGTCATGAGTACAGTGACTGTATGTGGATCGGACACTGTGTTGTTTCTGAAAGCTTCAGAAACAATAGTTGGAAATGACCCACTGCCTGATTTGACATTGAAGTAGTATATTGTGAGACTCTGCCCTCTAGTGGTTAATAAATTAACAACATCACCAACTGCAATGACTGAAAATGGAACTGTAAATGTTAGTGTCTGACACAGACCAAGAGCATAAAGACTTTAAAACAAGGTGAGAACACCAGGGATCCCAAGTGTTCTACAAGTTGGTTGGTTGTTTGGTTGGTTGGTTGGTTGGTTGGTTGGTTGTTGTTGTTGTTGGTTGTTTTGGTTGGTTGGTTGTTTGTGGTTGTTGTTGGTTGTGTTGGTTGGTTGGTTGGTTGGTTGTTGGTTGGTTGGTTGGTTGGTTGGTTGTGTGGTTGGTTGTGTTGGTTGTGTTGGTTGTGTGTTGGTTGGAGTTGGTTGGTTGGTGGTTGAGGGTTTTGGTTGGTTGGTTGTGTGGTTGGTTTGGTTGGTTGGTTGGTTGGTTTGGTTAGTTGTGTTGGTTGGTTGGTTGTTGGTTGGTTGTTGGTTGGTTGGAGGTTGGTTGGTTTGGAGTTGGTTGGTGGTTGGTTGGTTGGTTGGTTGGTTGGTTGTTGGTTGGTTGGTTGGTTGGGTTGGTTGGTTGGTTGGTTGTTGTGTTGGTTGGTTGTGAGGTTGGTTGTTGGTTGGTTGTTGGTTGGTTGGTTTGGGTTGGTTTGGTTGGTTGGTTGGTTGGTTGGTTGGTTGTGTTGGCTGGTTGGAAGTCATGTCCTCATATAACCCTGACCATTTCCAGGGCTTTATTCAGTCCTGAGGACTCTAACGGGAGTCCATGTCCGGGATGATGACATCACGGTGTGAATGCCTCTCGCGGCTGACCTCCTGTACTGCATGTTCATACTCAGATCCCGCCAGCTGTCTCATCTGAACAGCCTCAAATAAGTCCCCTGCAACAAGCACTGTCCCGCTGAGGTTCCCTTCCCTGAACGCTGACATCCTGTCCTGTGTGGCCTGGACTGGGAACTACACACACCTGTAGGAAGAAGAGAGACTGGTTTGGAAACTGAGGGAAAACCAGCAGAACAGCACATCAGCCCACTGAGCTCATCACATTCTGACTGTTTGTTTTTTATTATTAGATTTTAGTCTCAGTCCTGAGATCTTTAGTACTATCTACTGGCTGTG